TATTTATAATTTTACTTATGAGTCAAAAAAWTCAGGTACGTGTTGAAAATGAAACAGCATTTCTATTAATACATTTTAATTAGGATATTGTTACTTCTTCGCTTCCATACCAAACTAGAAGAGTAGCTTCATCAGATACCAACAACCTCTGAGATCTGTGTCCAGAAGAACCCAGTCCCTGGATCAGATACTGAACAGAAGGCCTCTGCTGGTGGACCTGAGCTTGAAGTGAAATTGAACAATCTGTGTGGAAAAATAGGGTTGATTTAAAATGACGATTTTATATTAGGGGTGTAAGAACATATTAATATCACTGAAATTAGGGATGCACCAATATGAAAATTTCAGCCGATATCGATATCCGATATAATTATTGCTGTTATGGCCGATAACCGATATTTACTGATATTACACAAACACACAAATTATATTATACATATACGCACAAACACACTTGGGTCTTTTTTTTTGACACCGTAAATAAACGACCAGACCTCTGACATGACTGCAGCATCAACATCACTATGATCAAACAGATGCTGCTCAACCAACCATCTCCCCTCCCAAAACAGAAACACAAAGATAAAAAGTGGGAAATCAATAACTGGTATTAATATCAGCCCAGTTTTACATATCGGACCAATACTGATATTCTAAAAATTGACCAATATCGACCGATACCAATGTGAATGTCGATATATCGTGCATCCCTAACTGACATATCACAATATTTAATTTCCTGATGCTGTACTGATTTTTAATTAAGTGTTAATATGCCAGCAGAAATGTTAAATTAATGTTGAACACATGAAAGAGGGATTAATGAGTAATAAAGTAATTTATTGATGGCTCTCAGTGTCTGATGGATGCTGGAACTCATTGATGTGATTCAAAGCTGCTCACTGACGTAACTTTATATTTATTTCAATCTTTCCTTCCTTCGCACAGACACAGGCTGGGCTCGTACTATGAGCGCCTCGCTGCCGTGCAGTCAGCAGGGGGCACGCACAGAGTCATAATAATAATAAGAGGAATGCATCTGAGCAAAGCTCGCTGAGACCAGGCTTTCTTCGTTTGGACCGCTCCGAACCGCGGCGTGAAGCGAGCAGTGCTCAGGTCCATGTCTCCGGCAGGACGGCCCCTGGCTGTGTTTCTGGGGAACATCATATTGGAGCTGCATATTGTTTGCAGGACGCTGTTCCTCCTGCAGCCCCCCCGGTCGATCCCGACGTAGTTGTGAATTGAACATGGCGACTGTACCAGTGTATTGCATCTGCAGATTGCCTTACGACGTGACCCAGTTTATGATCGAGTGCGACGCCTGCAAGGACTGGTTCCACGGCAGGTAAGGGCAGACGGCTCGGCGGGCTGTGTTTGTGGCGGTGGGCGCTCGGGGAGGAACGGGGGAAAATGGCGAAGCCTCGGCGGGTTTGACAGCTTTGTGGCTCTGGCTTCGCTCGCTCGGTCGAACCGTCTGAAGCGAGGCCGCTCGGAGAAGAAGGCGGAGTTAAGCGCAGTCTGTCTGCCGGGGCTGGGGCATTTTATACCGAATAACCCTAACCGGACTCCCGTCATCACAAATCCAGCGGTAAACGCCGTGATTTCGGTGTGGCCTTCGGGCATTTTCAGCCGCTCGCCGCGGTCCCGTCGCCCCGCAGTGAACTCCGTCCTCCCCGCGTCAGGAGTGGACGGCAGCGGGGAGAGCCTCGGCTCGTTTGCCCCCCTGGTTTCCTCCTCCCCTGCTGCTTCAAACAGCCATTTTTCACACACATTACTCGATACATGTCACATATGGAGCACGTCTTGTGTGTTTGCTCTGTTTTTTCTGTACGGAGCCTGGCTGGAAATGACGGCTCGAGGCGGCGCGGAGCCCCGGGAGCAGACGTCCTGCAGGCGGAAGGTATGGCTGACAATAGCCGGTGTTGTTGATGTCCCGGAGCGGCAGGACCGAGACAGAAAAGAACCAGAAATCACGGTCTGTGCTGTCAGCCGGTGCCTCTGCTTCATTTCTGTTCGTCAGAGGTTTAAACCGAGACGTGTTTATCAGTTTCCACTTTCAGAGTGGGCTTTAACCATCTGGGTCCGAATCTCCCATAGGATTTTTAAATATTCGCCTCTTTCTGTTGTAGTTCTGGAGCCTCAGCCCTCCGTGTGGTTCTGATGAGGGCCGGGGAGGTGACACACAGTTCGGCTGCACTCTGGCCGTGTTGTGTGTTAGTGGCTGCTTTATTTAAAGCGTTTGTTTTCAGTCAAGCCTGTTTACGCGCCTGAATGTTAACCCTTTAATGCTTCCTGAGGGGTGTGCAGCTGCTGCTCTGACACCCAACCAGTCATCAGTAGGACTGCCACAAACCATTATTTTTATAGTCGATTAATCACCGATTATTTTTTTTCGATTAGTCGACTAATCGGATCATACGTTAATTGAATATAAAACATACAGCTTATCGTGCCACAATGCAGCTGCTATTATATAACCATGGTTAGAGTTTAGCTATATGCTAACTAAAAATAATTTCTGTGGAAGGTAAGTTCTGCTCTGCAGATATTACACAGGTTTTTCTTTCATTTTCTTAAAATGATCCCACACTTTGAGCTCTGTTGTCAGGTAGCCATGATACCAGAGCCTGTCTGTATAATGTCTTGTGACGTCCACGGCCTACCCCAGTTACCACTACTGTGCATGTGTGTCAAGGACAGAAAGGCAGATGTGGCAGTGGAAGGTGTCAAAGCAGTTTGGAGATAAAAACAAAGTAAAGAACAACAACAACAAAAAAGGAAAACGATTAATCGATTATTAAATTAGTCATCGATTATTTTAATAATCGATTAGTCGTCGATTAATCGATTAATCGTGGCAGCCCTAGTCATCAGTAAATCACATTTACATGACAGCACACTCACAAATACACAGATTCAACACAAAAATACATCAGTTCACATTTAAAAGCGCATCCACTGATTTATTTTGCTCATGTTTTTGTCATCAAATAAGAATTATTGCCTGCTGTCAAAAGATCAAGATGGACAGGAATGTTTTCGCTCTGTGAACTTGTTTGTTAGCAAAATATCTCCTGAACCACCGAGTGGATTGTAATGACAGCTGCAGAAAATAACTTAGGATGTCCACCTGTAACTTTACACCATACTGACCTTCAGAAACACAAAAAGACTAAAACTACTGTCTTAAATTACGATGTGGTGTAGCTAACGTTATATTTCAGATCTGACGAAAACAATCATTTCTCAATATTAGGTGATTTTAGTTTAAAACTCTGGCGTGAAGGTGGAGGGTGACCTGCATTCCTGGGCTTTTAGTTTGAAACAAACTTAATTGTTTTCTGTATTTCTATGGACTTTTCCATAAATGAGTGAAATGTATTTTTCCTCCCTTACGTTGTTCAAAATGATCATTTTAGCTGCATTAATACTAAGTTAAACATTGAAACTGTATGTCAGGTTAAATTATTTGAGCAGTAGGTCAACTACAGGTGTTTCTGGACTTGAAGGAGGTGGATGTGGTTAGGGTTCAGCACGATGGATCAGTGGTTAGCACTGACGCCCCACAGTAAGAAGGTCCTGGGTTTGATCCCCGGTTTGGACCTGGGGGTCTTTCTGTGTGGAGTTTGCATGTTCTCCTCGTGCTTGTGTGGGTTTTCTTCGGGTACTCCGGTTTCCCCCACCCCACAAAGACCTGTACAACAGGTTGCCTTCAGGTCTTGGTTAGGATTCGTTCAGTTCCGGGATGTACTGGATGTCTGGATCTGCACCGTGGTTCTGGTGCAGATTGGTCGGGTTTTTAGAAAAGGTTCGAGCAGAGAGCCAAACACTAAACTCAGGAAAAGTTTCCTGCACAGGTTCCTCTTCCTCAGCCTGGCTGTGTGCACCTGAAGGTTGAAGCTCACTGAGCTCAGGAGCTTCCTCAATGTTCCCCAGCGTTCACGGTGATGCTCAACTTCCTCACGTGTATGGCAGAGGCTCACTGTCATTTTTACTTAAATTTTTAAAAAGTTAAAAAACCTGACTAATTTTCTCTCAGACACATGGCAAACAAGTGAAACCCATCTCGAGTGCAGGAGCTGGAGTTTGTAGGACTTTTCAGACAACTCATAATAAGATTTCAGTTCAGAGGCCTGCAGTGTGAAGATAAAACAATTATGGATTCATCTTGAATTTCTGTGATTTTCAGTTTTAATAACAGCAGGAGGCAGCTGGTTACAGCAGCATGGGTGTGGGTGGGCTGGCATGACCTGGGCCCACTCACTTTTTGGTGAGGACCATCCAGTCATTTAGTTTACATTTGAATTTTGGTTCTTTTTTTTGGTACTTAAATACATCAGAACAATGGGCCTCACTCAAGAACCGTTCGTACGCACAGATTTGTTCTTAAGTTGTGCGTACGAGTGATTTAGGAGAATTTGTGGCATTCACCAATGTTTTAGTATTCTAAGATTTTTTTCAGATACGAACAAAATTTACGAGTGGTCCAGACCTGTCGTATATTTTACCAGCAGTCAGTCTGCTGTTATCCAGACGGGTTTTCTTCACTAATAACTTTATATTTCATTAGTTTGAAGATGGGTACCGGCAGGCGAAGCGGCATGCGGCTCGGGTGGTCGCTGAGGCAAAAACCCGGGCGTGGGAGGAGTTTGGAG